ATGAACACCAGTGTTATTTTGGGACTTTTTTCACTTGTCCAGCTCTGCAGGTGGAGGTGACCAAAATAAAAGTAAATGAGTCCTGTACCAAGGCGGAGCTGAAGTGTAAGAGCAGCTGCACCGGGGATGTTTCTTATGTCTGGCTCAAGAATGGAGAGAAGGTCACAGAAGAAAATCCTCACATAACCAGCCTTCGGTTTAATGACAGCATCTGCTGTGCTTTGAAAGGACAAGAAGATTACTGCTCTGCTTCACTGTGTAAGTGCAGTGTAACTGACAAACTCTAACACAAAGGGTGGATTTTTTTAAGAGGAGCTTCCCCCAGTTCGATTTTTTTTTCTAATTTTATGTAAGCATTCGGCTTTTTGTGAATATACTTATTTCTATCTATTAAACAAATGATTATTGTTCCTCCAGATGCTCCAAAGCTTCCCTCTGTGACAGTGAGTCCATCTGGTGAGATAGTGGAGAACATTTCAGTGATTCTGATTTGTAGCAGTGATGCTAACCCAGCTGCTAATTACACCTGGTACAAGGAAGGTGGACAAACACCCCTGTCCATTACAAAACAGCTTAGCCTCCCGGCCATCCGGCCATCTGACTCTGGAGTTTATAACTGCACAGCAGAAAATGAGCTGGGAATCAGGAAATCCAAACATCTTCATATAAATGTAAAATGTGAGTGAAACTGCTGAAATTTGGAGCCTTCTTCTTGTAAATTACCAAAGAACAGTGCATACTTTACACATGACTCTAACCTAAAACAAGTTAAAGTCCATAATGAGCAATTTAACTCACTCTGTCAGTGGATTTAAGTTTCAGCCAAATCAAATTGTTGATAATTTGCCAAGACACCCCCCCCACCCCGTTTTCTTTTTTTATGTTATTTAAAGTCTTTGGTTGTCATACTGGTTGTCAGGGCAACATATCTGTAAGGACAAACCTGCCTGGGAGTAGGTTTATTCAGTGACTAAACTGGTGGAGCCAGTTGTCGTGAATGCCTGACTCCAACTGAATAAAAAGAGCATTACAGGTCCTCACAATCATCTAGCATATCTTGTCTCACAATATTTATAGAGGCACTGCTTCATTAAACACGGCATAATTCACATATGTCACTTTTTAGAACCACAGTTTAGAAGACAGATGTCTATGGATTCTTCTCTGTATGAACACCTCCCCTGAACAATTATGATCTAGACAAAGAGATTACACCCTAAAGAATGACTGAATTTGAAATGTTCTTATCCTGACCAGCTTCTCTTAATCTTATTCAGACATGATTTTATATTATTCTTCCATTTGCTTTTTTCTAATAGCCTTTGTAAGAAATCTGTTTCCCGATGAAAGAAAAAAAAAATGATTTCTATGATCATAGTTAACTAACTAACCACAGCTTAATCAGGATCAGCCAGTCCTGACTCACCTAGTTAATTAATGTTATGTGACACCAACACAGTCCTCTCTTTATAGCTAATTTCTGATGCTCTTCTTGTACAGTTTTTGAAGATTGTATACGGTGCTTTACATAGAACAATCAAGTTCTACAACAGGTAGGACCTAATTTACAGTTAACATATGTTAGCATATTTCCTCTAGATGCTCCAAAGCTTCCCTCTGTGTCAGTGAGTCCCTCTGCTGAGATAGTGGAGGGCAGTTCAGTGACTCTGACCTGTAGCAGTGATGCTAACCCAGCAGCTAACTACACCTGGTACAAGGAGGGGCTATTCCTGACTTGGCCACCAGAGGGCGTTCATCATTTCACCTCCATCAGCTCTGAGAACAGAGGAAACTACTCCTGCAAATCAGAGAATCAGTATGGACAGATCAACTCTTCACGTGTGTTTATAAATGTCCAGTGTAAGTAGAAAAGTGCAATTTAACCCTATGATATCTAAATCATCATTAGTGATACACTGTGCCCTAGCCCTACCTCTAACCCTAGATAATCTGAATGTGTAATTTCTGAGAGATCATGAAGTGTCTTGAAATTTTATCACTCAGATGCTCCAAAGTTTCTTTTTGTGTTAATTCACTGTAGACACATGGTGAAGTTCATGAAATTAGACTATGGTTTTAGTTTAATAATATTCTTAAATCCTCTTTATTGCTTGATCTGCATAAAGGTAGGAAAAAACTGTTACAAAACAACTATTTAACTAACACACTAGGCCCTCATTTTACACAAGTCTGCGAATCTATGCAGGAATAAATTTAGCAGGAGAGTATTTAGTGTGCTGGAATCAATTTTACGTAAATACTGTGGAAACAGTAAAGTACAGGATTTCCATAATTTCAACTTACCCTCAAATTAAAGTGGCACGCTCAGTCTCAGTTTATTTAGTTATTGGGCAAAACAACATCAGTGGATTTGTAGAAATAATATGTTGTCGTTTATGACAAAGTAATAGAACATTATTCTGTGACATGATTCATGGCCAAAGGGTCATCATTTGCTTTTATGAGTTACACACACTAAGCAAATATTTGCCTTGCTATATTTGTTAGTGTAATAAACAAATAAACTGTCCTCCAGATGCTCCAAAGCTTCCCTCTGTGTCAGTGAGTCCCTCTGCTGAGATAGTGGAGGGCAGTTCAGTCACTCTGACCTGTAGCAGTGATGCTAACCCAGCAGCTAGTTACACCTGGTACAAGGAGAATGAAGCACTGCCTCTAGGACCAGAGGGCAGTCATCATTTCACCTCCATCAGCTCTGAGGACAGAGGAAACTACTTCTGCAAATCAGAGAATCAGTATGGACAGATCAAGTCATCATATGTCTTTATAAATGTTCAGTGTAAGTATTCTTCATTGTCCAAAGGCTTCTCTATACTTTGCATGCTAATATTAATGAATAATCTGTATAATTTCCCAGATGCTCCAAAACTTCCCTCTGTGTCAGTGACTCCGTCTGGAGAGATAGCAGAAGGCAGTTCAGTGACTCTGACCTGTAGCAGTGATGCTAACCCAGCAGCTAATTACACCTGGTACAAGGAGAAAGAAGACTCACAAAAGGCACATGGACAAACCTTCACCATTGACAAGTTTAGTCCTGCACACAGTGGGACTTACCAGTGTAAAGTCCAGAACAACAGAGGACATCACAGCTTGACCTTTCTCTTGGCTGTTGTACGGTTAAGTGGGAATGGCACTGGTACGCTCTTTTTCTTACTGAAAATCAAGTTGTTGCCAATCAGATGCTTTACAGATGGTATTGCATGGTGGATCAGAGCACACTTGTCTGCATTCATAATTCCAAATACTGTGACAAAATCCTGAACAACACTGGCTGAAAAGCCACCCCAAACTACCACAGAGCCTCCATCGTATTTTAAAGACAGCTTTAAGGCCCTTTCACATAGGACGCTGCATGCCAATTGCTGCGGTCTGAAACGCTCTTATTTCTATTGCTTGTGCTGTGCAAATTCAGTTTTCCATTATAGCACGGCATTCGTGGAAGCGAGAAGTAATTGTGCATACTAGTTGAACTTTTACAGCTGCGTGCTGTGACGTACATTCGTGTGACCATTAGAAATAAATCCTACTGTGCTAGGTTCGTGCACACAACCACACAACGAAGGAAAACATTCTGTACATACCAAGTTCAGTGAACTTTTTTGACACAAGTTTCAAAATGAGAATCAGAATACTATATTGATCCCTAGGGAAAATTATGTGGGTTACAGTGCTCCGGTAAAAACAGTAACAAAAAGACAATACAAGAAATAAGAAACAGCACAATATATACATATATATCCGACATAGCAAAATTGGTATGGTGCCGATCTGGCCCACACGATGTGCTTACATATGGCCCACATACCACAAAAAATGACGGCCCTTTGGTGGCCCAGATCTGGTTTGCCAGAGGTGTCCCACACATGGGCCAGCACAGGACCACCAGTATGTCTGCAACGTCCTGTGCTGGCCCATGTGTGTGGATTACCTCTGGCAAACCAGATCTGGGCCACCAAAGGGCCGTCATTCTTTGCAGTATGTGAGCTATATCGAGCCAGATGTGGCATGCCATCACACAGACAGTGCCATCTATGCCAGCCCTGGCCCATATCTGGATGACATACATCTTATCATACCAGAAGTCAGCCAGCAGTGCCAGCTTGATACCAGATCCGGGCCAGACCTGTCTGCTATGTGGGACACATACACATAAGTCACTTACTAATAAATATCTGAATAAGAAAGAAGAGCATGTGCAAAAAGGGTGTAGCTATTGCAGTGTATAAGGTGTATTAGGTGGAGGAGTTGTACAGGGACATGGCCACAGGCAGGAATGATTTCCTGTGTCATTCAGTGGTGTTTTTTGGTAATATCAGTCTCTCACTGAACGTGCTCCTGTGGCTAGCCTGCATGTCATGGAGTGAGTGGGAGGAATTATCTAACATTGTCTTTATCTTGGAGAACATTCGCCTCTCCGACACCACCTTAAGACAGTCCAGCTCCATCCCCACAACATTGCTGGCCTTGTGGATCCATATATTGAGTCTGTTAGCATCAGCAACTCTCAATTTGCTCCCCCAGCATGCAAAGGCATAGAGGATAGCAGTGGCAACAACAGATTAGTAGAACATCCTGAGCATTGTTTGACAGATGTTGAAGGACCTCAGCCGCCTCAAAAAATAGAGACGACCCTGACCGTTCCTATAAAGTGCAGTAGTGTTTTTAGCCCAGTCCAGTATATTGTCTATGTGTTATGTATGTATCATCCACAATGTCAACATTGAGCCCCTGGATTGAAACAGGGGTCAAGTTTTTTTCTGGCAGGAGACTAGAATAAAACAGAAACACTGAGACTGGGATACATAGACTTGACACAGGGACCAGTGAATAAAGACAGGAAAGACTGAGCTTGTTAAATGGAACACAGGGAGGCATGATAACAGTAACGTACAGACCTAAGACCATAAAATACAAACACTGTGCATAACGGAATGACAATAAAGAACCAAAACCTGGAACATGAACTTAGCCATATAATAATAAAAGCCTGAATGACAATACATACTAAATACAGAACTATAATATAAAGATAAAAAAAAACTTGCTAAACATTCCCAAAACTCTAAACCCTGGGTCACAGACGCAGGACCATAACAGATTTGATCATTGCTGTTGCAGTCTGAATCCAGTTTGAATCCCCACACTGAAGCTGAAAGAGGAGAGGGTTTGGAGAAAAGTAGGTGGGCAAAGGTGTAGGATTTCCAGCTAAGTTCTGAAAATATGTATATTTATTTGATCTATTATTAGGTAGCTACTTTGGAAGGAAAACAGTTCTTCCATTGAGTGTTGCAGGTAAATATTTGTGGAGTGCAAAATGGTTCAAAAGTACACGTATTCACGTGTTATAGTGGGTGAAACTTGGCTTTACACTTTGTCTGAAGGGCAGTAACACTTTGTTATTCTATGGTGCCAGAAGTTGGAAACATAATATAGAACAGTATATGTAACAGAGTTTTCATGTTATCCCCCTTACTCAGAAATGTGGAAAATCATTGCTGGAACAGTGATTGGCATTCTTCTTGTTGTCATACTCATGTGGATTTTATTATCGATATGGTGAGTAGCATATCATTTAAATTATTTTACTTAAAGCTTTTCAGTTAGTTTAAGCAATCTTTGTTTCTTCCTCCAACTAGGAAAAAGCAGATCCCCAGAAAGCTCCCTGAGCCTACAGAGAGCCCAGGCACAAGTGCACAGGTCAGGAAGATCAATACATGTACAAAGACTAAAGCTGAAAGGCTACCGTAGTCAGTTACACATGGAAAGTATCAGAATTTGCTTAGAAAACTGACTGATGATTCATGAGAACTGTATCAGGCTTAGGCTCACAGTTGTACCGAGAATCACAAATGTGTCATGTCTACAGAAGCAACCAGTAGAGCAGAAGTGCAACCTTCAGTATGCCAGCATTCAGTTTTCTAAGAAGCAGACAGATCCTCTCTATTCCAACATCAACCCAGCTCAGGCCCAGAAGCACAAGAAAGAAGAAGAAGAGGAAAACAAAATCCATTATGCTACTGTCAAGTTTGCCAGTGCCAGTGGAGCACCAAGGTAAGCAACACATAGACATTATCATTGCTGTAGGATAAAGTTTTGTTGTTGAGAGGAACTTGCCAGGACAGTCATGCATCACCACTTCTTCTTTTGTTTTCATAGATTTGAACATTTGATATCACACGATATACACATCAGATTTCCTCGTCCTGTAAAGCATTAACAATGAAAAAATTTGCCAGAACATTCAAATTTTTTCTAAAAAACTGGAGCGTTCCTTGAATCTTCTGGCAATTAAAAAAAGAAAGGTCATTTTGCAGATGAGTTTTAATTTGTGCAACGTTTTTGTGTAACATATTACTCATAATTTGCTCATCTTAAGCAAAAACATACAAGAGGATCAGGGTTTAAAATTTTGCTGTATGAGGTAGTGTATCATATATAAAATGTGATGCGCTCAGTGTTGCAGGGAGAGTATTTCACTTCCACTTCTGCAAACGATCTGTTTGTCTGTGTATTCATCTGTATTCTTGTTTTCATGCTTAATGTAAATCCTGTTCATACAGTCTAAAACATGACTTACTTCACACTGTTGAGTAGATGAGTTGGTTGTCAGCCCAGTCATGTTGGGTTTTTTTTCCCTCCCTACTTATTTGCCTATGATTCCACTGAACACATTCAAACCATAAGACTGATTTGCCTGTCTACTTTGCTTTGCATTAATTCCCAGGCAAAATAAATAGTCATGAGACTTAGCCTTTGAGGTTGAATCTGAAAGCCAATTCCATGTTAAAGTATCAAGTTTTAAATCAGAAATAAACATGGCTTTGGGGGTGGGCGGGTTATACAGCGTCCAGAGGATGGTCTGTGTATTCAAACCCACCTCTGGCGCTGGTGCCCTACCCTCAATTTTAAATGCATGTAGACACTGAGGGTTTTCGGGATGAGCCGTGCTGCTCTCTGGTAGGAAGCATCATGTTTTAAATGCACTTTAGAACAGCATGCAGCAACACTACATATGAGCGGGCGGAGGGAGGTTTGGGGTCTTCACTCACCTCCATTCTCTATTGACCGCTGGGGCTGGGAGGTATTGGCCGTCCGATTGGGGTTCAGGATGCGGGGCGTCCCTGCTACTGCAGATATGGGGGCGGTCTGCTTGCCTCCACCCTAGGGAAAAGGGTTACATCTCATGGGTCTAGGTGTGGTTTGCCTCTCTTGGAGAAAGGGTACCTGCACCTGAGGTATAGAGTATGTTTGGGGAGTGTGATTGTGTGTACAGTGTCTATTTGTGTCTGTCTCCACGTCGGGTGAGTACTTGTTTATGTGTATATGAGGGAATGCACATTTGTGTCTGTGTGCGCCTGTTCGTCGGTGTCTATATGTCAGGTCAGGTATCAGACGCTGCCTCTCTGGGAACATCTCAGGTCCTCCAAGGCAGTAGCGGTTTTAGATACGGGCGACACGGGCGGTTGCCCGGGGCGGCATCGTGGTGGGGGCGGCATCACGG